TTATAAGACTTTACATCAGCTGAATGAGAAGCTTTTCGCATCAGTAAATAAATCATTGAGGATGAACCATCCTTAAAGACTAACTCTCACTTTGGCAAATTTAGTCATTAAATCACCTATTTTATTCTTGGGCAATTTTATATATTTAGTTATTCACCCGAGTCATTTACTTTAAGTGTAAGGGCTTGATAAAATAAATATATACAAGCGTTGGATAGAAAGGAATGAAAGAGATAATGTAACAAAACACAAAATTGTATTTGTTTTTTTCTAACGTATGAGATTTAGTCATTTACTTTAAGTGTAAGGGCTTGATAAAATAAATATATACAAGCGTTCGATAGAAAGGAATGAAAAAGATAATGTAACAAAACACAAAATTGTATTTGTTTTTTTCTAACGTATGAGATTAATTGCAGTTATATGGTAACCACATATACATTTGGGAAGAAAAAGGACATGCCAAGTAAAACTGACTGAGAAATTAAACTATAATACCGTATTTCCTTGAGTACTTCCCCCCTAGCATTTTAGCGCAAGGTTCTGAAAACTTGAAAAATATTCGCATAATTTTCCTCTTCCTTTGTTGTACACAATTTTGCCCTCCGAGGGCTGTTTCATTGCAAAATTGTATTCTGTTGATTATCAGTATATTCAATTTGTATTTGCATTTTTGTGTTAGTATTTCATCCATTTTATTTCCCCTTTCATTTATTATTTGAACTTTACTTTGTGCAAATTCTTCGTTAAGCCACCAGATCGAGGCAGGTGTTATGCTCAAGAAACTTTCTAAACAGGTAATTTCACCTCACTTCTGTTATTTACGTTCCGACTTATTGTAGCCTTATGTACTTCTGAGGTGTTCGAACTTTCCAAATCTGTGTCTTTTGCTCACTCCACTTCTTCCTTCCTACGAGTCCCTGTTGGGAACTTTAGTTAGGACTCATTCATGTGACATGCCCCTGGGGGTTTATATGGACACAGTATCCGTCACATATTGTAATATTACAGTGTATTCTTAAGGAAATACGATATATGCCAATTACCATTTTTTCCCTAGTCCACTTATGTCCTACGTATTTGTCAGCTCATCATTATGAATCTATTATGTTAAGAAACCTTTGCGTAAAAAATGTCACATTTTTCATAATATAATTTTATCAAATTGTCAAAAATACTGGAAACTGAACTGAAACGCAAGCGTATTGCATCGATTTTTGTTTAACTATTTTTATTTCTTGTTACTTCTTTTACTTTCTATAATATTGTAGCTTGTTGAGGTTGTTTACAGATTTTCCTTGAGAAAGTTTTTGAACTGTTTTAAATAAATACGAGGGCTATCCAGAAAGTAGATTACGTTTTGGAATAAAACTATAAACAAAGTATAGGAAACAAATTTTATTATATACAGATGAAAGCCACACTCAAATACTACTTTTCTACATAGTCACCATACAAATTAAGGCATTTATCGTAGCGATGTACGAGCTTGGAAATTCCTTCGTCGAAAAATTCGGCCGCCTGCGCCTTCAACCACTTCGTTACCTCTTCTTGCAGCTGTGCGTCGTCATCAAAACGCTGCATAGCCAGCCACTTCTTCATTGCTGGGAATAGGTGGAAGTCGCTCGGTGCCAGGTCGGGACTGTACGGCGGATGAGGAAACAACTCCCACTTAAAAGATTCAAGAACTTTACGAGTGACATTTGCCGTGTGGGGCCGGGCGTTGTCGTGAATCAACAAGATCTTAGAGCTCAACATTCCTCTGCGCTTGTTTTGAATTGCTCTTCTGAGTTTTTGGAGAGTTTGGCAATACCTTTGAGAGTTTATTGTAGTGCCTCTTTCCAGGAAGTCCACCAAAATTACACCTTTTCTGTCCCAAAAAACAGTCGCCATCATCTTCCTTGTCGACATTGTTTGCATGCATTTCTTGGGTTTTTGGGAGAACTTGTGTGCCCCCCACTGCATTGATTGCAATTTCGTTTCACAGTTCACATGTTTCACCCATGTTTCGTCACCAGTAACGATGCGATCGAGTAAAGAGTCACCCATCCTTATGGTAAGCGTCCAAAAAGTTCAACGCTGCAGCCATTCGCTGATTTTTGTGGTCCTCTGTCAAGATTTTTGGAATCCATCTTGCACAAAACTTGTGGTAACCAAGCTTTTCGCTGATGATTTCGTGCAACAAACTTCGCGAAATTTGTGGAAAACTCAAAGAAAGTTTCATTATTGTGAAATTTCGATTTTCACGGACTTTAGCATCGACTTTTTCGAGAAGTTCGGCGGTCACTATGCTGGGTCTCCCACTTCGATCTTCGTCGTGAAACATTGGTTCGGCCATTTGAAATCTTATGACCCACTGACGCACTCCACCTTCAGTGATAATGTTGTCCCCCATACACTTCACGAAGCTGCCGATAGATTTCTATCGGTTTACAGTTTTTTGCAGTCAGAAACCTTATTACTGAGCGCACCTCGCAGCTCGCGGGATTTTCAATTAACGCAGACATTTCAAACCGTCACAGTATCTGAACGGAGCACAGCACGAACCTCTCACTAGCACGGCTAGATGCAGACTGAGCTGCGCAACGCTCTGACCCCAAGATGGCCGCGCTAGCCCCGCCCCTAGCGGACACAGACGGAAACGTAATCTACTTCCTGGATGGCCCTCGTATCAGAAAATGTATGATAGTAACAGCTTACGAAAGTTAGTTCCTGTGACAAACAGCACAGGTGACAGTTACCTACACTAAACCATAGCTTTACACTATGCGTATAAATCTTGCTACGTTTGGGAATGCATTTATCCCGTGTAATTTCCTTATAATCCTACTGAAATAGTAAATTTACGTATGTGATTTAGAAATTGAGTACATTATACCTCTTGTCTCTATGTTGATATATTCTATAGCAAGCTTTCTAAAGTGTTTTAGAATTTTTTTTTATATAATTCTTGTCTTTTGTACATAAAGTTTACTCTAGCAGAAAGAACATGTAATGCAACTTACTCTACTTCTTTTCTTTAGGAGGGGGGGGGGAACATTGTTTTATTAAAACCTAATATCTTCCATGTTATAATGAGTGCCGTTATTCAATCTCACCTCCTTAATAACCTAACTTAGTTATTTAATTATATATGATGTCAATATTAGATTTAATGTGATACAGTATCAACTTTAATCAAATGTTTCTCATTAAGATAAGTTTTTGGATTGTAAAATTAAGTATTTCACAGCACTCATTTACTCGCTATAAAATAAAGAAATCGAAAAAGTTCTACTGTTAAAATAATTATTCAAGGTCATTATTAATGAAATTAGGTGAAATTCAAATCGTTTTCTAGTTTACACGAATTTCGTACAAGTGAGTCCTTATTTAAAAAATGACTTTTTAGACATGATTCAGAAGCAAATTAGCGTACTATTTTTATATGCAAAGATGAATTGCGAAATCCTTTTATATTGGTAAATAAGTGATAGAATCTTTAAGATAAGAAATATGCAAAATTTTTAAACATATTTTGCAATTCAATTTTGAATCCGAATTTATAAATTCCTACTGCGTAACATGTTTATAGTGTCTGTGAATATCATTTATTTTATTTAATTGATACGAAATACAGTTGCAGTCATCAAAATTTAAACAGTCGAGCAAATAAAAATATAATATGTGAAAACTAATTTTAGAAAACTGGTAACGAATACATATGGTGTAGTGTAAATTCAGAGAGCAAGAATCCTTCCTCTGTCCGTACTCAAGAAAGAGCAATAGGAGTTGTTGTTACTTATAGTTGATTTGGTGTGTGTATCCATTAATTGGTGATTAAATTATGAATATTTTTTTCCATCAAAGTATTTTCCCTACATAATATAACAGAAAAAAAATCTGTTAAGACAATGTAACTAGTATCGAAGCGTATCGAATTTTTCGGGGCTCGAAACCCGGCGAGTACATGCTGATTGCCTTATCTTTCCTTCTCCAAAGACTTCAAATCGTTGTACAAATCCAGAAGTACAGAATTCAGATTTCATCTAGTTCAACACTTTAATACATGCTGCATAAATCAGAAAAATAAAAGGAGTGTTTGGTTTTTATGCTGCCATCAGTTCTTCGTGTTTCCGAGATCTAAGATGGGAGGAAAGCGCGAATATAACTTGGTATATAATATTGATATTAGCACAAGACCCTGTCATTAATTGTTGGACTACAAGAAGCTGGAGCCACTCAGCTGATATAGTGGTTGTATGCGCTGCAAGGAGGCATTCAAAATACAAAGCGAGCCGAAAGTCCCCTCGAGAGTTTGATGATAAGGGTAACAGGGATGGGGAGATCCTCGAACCGCCCTTCGGGATGTTCTCCCTTAAAATTAGGACGGAGTTGCATACTTAGCGTGGCAGGACTGCACCTGTAATACCAATGATGAACTTCTGGTGTTTTGTCCACTTCTACCTATAACTAAGTATACAAGAAGCTGGATTTTTTTAATGTGAAATGTATAGTATACGATTGCCAGTTATATGGTAGATTAAACTGAGAGTAGAAAGCAATGTTTATTGTGTTTTCTTTATATCGTTTAACTCAAAAGCTACGTTTAAAACAAAACGCATTTTTGAGCTAAATCCATTATCCTAAGTTGATCAAGTGGAAATTTAGTGTTCTCTGTCATTTTTTATTCGATTAAACATAGGTTTTCATATGATAAATAGGCCCGTCTATGATCGAGTACATAAGACGACAACTCAACAGTGTTAATTTAGTCATAGAGTAGTCTCAATGAATGGGCTAGCTGCATGGATGTTTCCATATTTTTCCCACGCGTAGCATAAATATGAATCTATTTTCCTTAAAATGGTCTCCCAAGATGGCAATCCTTTCCTTAAGCAACTAATTTTTGCATGCTTTTCCAAATTTGATTAGCCAAATAAACAAACAAATATGCAGTTAATTTTTGGTAAAACCTATTTAAACATTATGACCAACTTACCTTTTATCTTTCTTTTCAGGGCAACGGAACATTTACAAACGTTGTTGTGGTTCAACACCATCCCTTTGTTCTTCGCACTTCAGACAGGAGGATAGATGTTGCCTGTGACTATGAAGAAATGAAACTCAAAATCAGAGGTTCAAAATCAGTTAAACATGGGTAAGACATATTTCCGTTATGAGAAGTATTAAACCTTTATGTAAAATTAAATCTCAGTATGGATAACGATAATAGAGATTGCTCGTTCAGTAATCAAAACGAATAGTCTGATTTGCTTTTTTAAGATGGTATTTAAATCCTAAGTTTACTGTGTCAAAGGCAAATGAAACTATCTATTTATTCACATAGTTTTTGTTTGATAAAGCAGTTCATTGAGACTAGCATAAATATTTTTCTCTTTTGCAATGAATGTTGGTGGTACAAAATTATTTTCGATAATGAATGTACCATAAATAGTGTACAATGATATTTAATAGCGAAACGTCTTATAATTTTATTCCTTTATTCACATTTTAATGCATAATCATATTAATTCAATAATTTCAGATATAAAAAATACTTCACTCTTTTCAGATATATAATATACTATATGTATTTCGGGGATATTAAAGATTTGCTGTTTAAAAGTAAGTTAGTGAAATACATCCATAAATCATCAAAATAAAAAGGTTAATTTGTAATAATAGTCTAAACATTCGGACTTTGGGAGCAATTTGTTAAGCTTTTCTAAGCGGACCATTTTTATTTTTTCTATGTCATTTTTGCAAATGGGCAGTTCCGTATTTACCTGAATAAGTAACGATTAGTATTTTTAATAAAACCTTAATTATGCCAGAACATCAATGTTTTCATGGTTTCTCAATATTAATTTACATAGAGTCATAGCAAATTGTTTAAAGGGAAATATGTACGGGTATATTTAATAGCTTATGTAATCAGCTATGATTGCTGTCGTAAGATCCTTGCTGATCCAGCAATTCGAACACAGCCAAGGTATCTTAATTCAAATTATCTGTAAGATATTAACCAGTCATTAAAGTAAACCTGTTTATTTGGAGTCAAAGAACTTTAAAGATTATAATTTTAAAATAAAATTTCTTTCTTACTTATTATTGCTCCAAACAGAAAAGGACCAATTTCTGAGGAAGATGCAAAGAACGTTGAGTAATAACGAAGCTTTTCTACAAGATCGTTTCAATAAATACAGCTGCAGTGAAACACTATAAAACTACAGAAACAAAATTCCAAATCTTTAAGGATTGTAAGCGCTGATCCCATTGATGCATATAAATATAATAACTTAATTATACCTCTTTAAAATATTTACTTCCTTTCTCGAATTACATCTCTAATTGTATTATTAATTGCGTCCTTGTCCGCAATATCAATATTTAATTTGTGAAGTACTGCTTTTGTGAAGTACTGTGAAGTATTTACTTTTTCATTTCCTTATTTTCCTTTACGTTTGAACTCTTGGTCAAAATAAAAAATAGGCGTCTCGGTTATCAAAGTTATTTCCATTAAATCCGAAGACACAAGCAACGGACTTATGACCTGTTCAACTAATAATATCTGATTCATGATTCATAAAGCTCTGGTGAAGGTTGGGTTACTAAGGTGAACGGTGAGAAGGCGTGTGACATATGTCTTAGGACGAAAAAGCTTGTTGTCACCTATGCCACGTGTTTAGATTTTCACATCACTTCTCTTCATTGTTGGTAAAGTACTCTTCATTGTTGGCAAAGTAAACATCGATTATACATAGAGCAGACTGAAAGTTTACCATTGTTCTATGCTTTGCCCCGCCTCCAATTTTAGTGCAACGTTACTTCCGGACTTTATCAGAGCGAGAAGGTCATAAGCAGGAATAACGGATGGCGAATAATTACGATTATCACTTCGACATTGCTTTAATTCATAACGGAGTTTAATCAACGAAGAAATCGCGAAAAGTTCACTCTGAAATCGCGGTGAGCCATCTCAAAGCGACAAACAATGAGATGATTCACTTGTCATTGTGTAGAGATACTGAGAGTGTGGAAAAGGATGGAATATCTGTGGTTATAACTAGCTTCTCGTGCCATGAACTTGACCATGGAAGTTTTGACAAAATAACAAAAGCAACAGTTATGCGGTTGAGATGTTGACTTTTGAACTTTGGCAGAGTTATGCTTTCCTGTTGAGAAGTTCCTTTATATGCAGTCTAATGATCCGCCTACCCGATGTACGGTACTTGATGAATGGATCTTGTGAAGAAAAGGAAATCGACTAAATAACACTTTCATGAAAACGTGTTTTAATGTATTGGAAATGTTATCATCATGTGCAACAAAGTTGAATATGTTGAAATATGTGGAATGAATACGCTTATAAAAGACTTTTCTGACAGGACCAGGTTGTTTTTATTTGGATAAATAATATTTTTGGTTTTCTTTATTTGGATACTTGAATTCTAGTATAAGGTTTCAAATTTAAAAATCCGATATCTTTGCGAAATTATCTTCCGTCATACAAAATCCTTTTTGTGACAGATATGCATAAAAAATATTTGCTCCGATAGTTTCTAGTCGATGATGAAGAGAGAAAAGCTAAGATTTTTTTATTACTTTTAATCCAAAAAGGCTATTAGACTCGAAATGGGATTTTGAGTCGTATCGCCATAAATCCTTCGTTTCACTTTTCTTACGAGTCTGTTCCATTCGAATCAAAAATAAAAGTTTTGTAAGCCATCTTACTAAGCAAACTGAGCATTGATATGATTAACTGAGAAAATACTTGTAAAAAAGAAAAAAAAATTATGCCAACGCTTAACACTGCATCAGGAATTCTAAAAATATGCTGTTATGTTGCATTTGTGATTTTTGTGATTTTGCCACTGAATTTTCTATGGCATAAGTTCGAAGAAAACGATGTTTGGGTTACGCATAAAATGGGTTAGCAGCAATGAATGCAACAGTAGATTAAGTTGACTGCGAGCTCAGCGAGACCGTAAAAAACCTTAACAAACCCTTTAGGATGACCGTTAATATCTGAAATCTTTCAGATTTTTTAAGTTTTGTTTCTAACTGTTTGAAACTGCAAAAACAGAAAGCATTTTATTTAAATTTGTGTCTTTGAAAATTTCTAGTTAGTAAAGCTGAAATGTTGCATAGTTTTAAAAATAAGTTGAAATTCACCGCCTGCAAAACTTGAAAACTAATAATTATTTAAGGTTTTTAAACAAACATAAATTTACGCTATAAAAATCAAGTAGTTTCAGTAGATTTCCAATGCACAATTGTGTTAAATATTCTTACCTTTCGCTGTTAGAGGAAAGATTTGAGTCAAATAAAAGTATTTAATACTTTTTTTGGTTAAGCCAACCATTTATATTTAAGATTAAACTCTTTTCAATTAGTATTTTTTTCTCTTGCGAATTTTCATATATATGAACTCTTTTGGAAAATAGTAGAAATGTCAGTCAAAATGCATAATGTTGCAAACATTTAGACATAAGTTTTTAAAGTAACGTGTAAGCATTTAATGGTGTTTGTAGTTTACAAATTGCAGGTTTGCCTCAAATTAATTTCTGAGCTCTGGCTTTGGCTAAATCAGCTATTCGTGCTTATGATTAAAGCTGTTTAAAAAAAATAAATGAATTCTTTTTCTTGTATATAACTTTTTTTCAAAATTATAAAAATGCCATTAAAAATAGGCTGTAAAAATTATAATAGAATTTTTTATTAAAATGAGAATTTAGGCTATAAAGTGTTTACAGTTTATGTATAAACATTTGTTGAAAATAAATGGTTTTAAGGAATTATCGCATTTTCCGGTGCATGATCTCATAGTGTAAGTGCTTAGCGTATGCAGCTGGCAGTCTGAAAGATTGTGATATGAACCCCGAGGCAGGTATAATTGGTTTTTCTTATTTCTTATTCCATAAAGGTCTGACAGTCTGCGCTGTAGAGCCCAGGCTATATTGTGATAATGATATTTGGATGGGATCGACTGGCTCTTGTGCCTTTCCCCATTCACCCTGTAAGTAATGAAATGAGTGGTAGCTCCGCATTATCCTGTGTATGCTCTTATGGTGTAATTGGTCAGCATGTTCAATTGGCAAACTGAAAGGTTCGCGGTTTGAATCTCGAAGAAGGCAGAACTGATTTTCCACTTTGAAAAACTCTGTGGTCTGTAAAGTTTATGACAGATTAACTAACTATCTCTGGCGTTTTAAAATCTTTAATGCTTTTAAATAAAGTTGTTTAACAGTAAAAAAAAAGGTCTTTGAAAATAAAAATTTTGATAAATGCAATTGAAAAAAGAGTGACTTATTTTAGAATTTGACATATTTGTGACAAAAAAATCAGAAAATTCTAAAGGCTGCTTGCTCACTTGATAAAGAATAAATCAACAGCTTGTGATGATTCACCTAGTTAATTTGACCAAATAGTTAATTTTAAATTGAATTAATTTTCTGTCACTCTCTTTTCGCCCACGCTTTTCTTGCCAGAATGTAAATGAGATTGCGAGCGTTTATTCGGATCGAGGGAGAAATAAGTGCTATTTAAGCAAAGGTTTCACAAGTTAATTTTAGAGCGTGTTCTCTCTACCTCAGGCCACGTTGTGCCGTGACTGTTAGCGATTTAATTCTGAGGCGTTGAGTGCTTCTAGCCATTCAGCTTGTCTCGTCGTTTTTCTACAAACCAGAGCGTTACTTTATCTTGTGAGCTGCTAGGCTAAGCTAATACATTTGATTTAGTTCAACATTTCGTATTTACGCTAAGCCAGAGGTGTTGACTTGTGTAAACCTAAGTTGGGTCATTGTTAGGTCTTTTGTGTTGAAATAGAAGGGTCTTATACACCCTTCTTCTGTCTTTTGTTTCTGTACTTTCACAAGATTTGAGGACAATTCTTCAAGTCTTTTTTAAAAGCTTAGTTTATGCTCCGTAAGAACACTAGGCTTTACAAGCTTAAGCATTTAATAACGATAGAAAGTGAATTATGCAACATATTAATAGAATTCTGCAGTCCCGTGTGGTTAGCATACCGAGTAGTTATTCTAATTTATACGTATGTTGTAACTATCATAAACTAAACCGGAAAGAAATTTCTAATTTTCTGTTTATTCAGTCTTTCTTAAAAATGTAATAACATTTAACTCACTAGAATACCCCGAT